TCGATAATTGCGAACGTGAAAGAAAGCATCGCATATAAATTTCCACTGCGCAAATATGCAAAACAGTGCCGTGTTATTGGGCAAAGTAATTTACTTTTTCTGATTGGTGAATAGTATTCTGCTTGCGAATCCGCACAGCACCTATAAATAGTGCATTTTCCGCGTCATTATCATTGTTGTGCTTGATTCTTAATATTCGTTGTATTAGAATAATTCTACAATGTCTGGTCGTGGTAAAGGTGGAAAAGGCAAGAAGGGCGGCAAGGCTAAGACTCGTTCCGCCCGTGCTGGTTTGCAGTTCCCTGTCGGCCGTTGTCATCGCTACTTGCGTAAAGGTAACTACGCCAATCGTATTGGCGCTGGTGCCCCTGTCTACATGGCAGCTGTGCTCGAATATTTAGCTGCTGAAATCCTCGAGTTGGCTGGAAATGCCGCCCGTGACAATAAGAAGACGAGAATCAATCCTCGCCATGTTCAACTTGCAGTACGAAATGACGAAGAACTGAACAGACTGATGGCTGGTGTTACCATTGCACAGGGTGGTGTACTGCCAAATATTCAGGCGGTACTTTTGCCCAAGAAGAGCGGTAAAAAGTAAACTCCGTGTGCCCGGCACACATAAACCAAACGGCCCTTTTCAGGGCCACCACATCCTCCAGAAAGAGAACTACCGTATTATATATTGTTTATGTTCGTGTAGCTGTGGGCCATAGCTCTTCTTGTGTCGGTTTTTGGTTGTCGTGATGGTATTTCAGTTACGATTTTTATCGAGAAGAGCTATGGTAAATTCACAAAATAGCCTTGTTTGTACAGTAGTTTGCACTTTCCTTTCGAAGATTGGGACAACATTATTTTTTTAGTAAAAATTGATTGAAATTTTGTCCGTTGGCTCCAAAATTTGGGTTCATTGCCAGGAATATTGAACAATATAAGAAAAAAGGTTAGTGCCCCCGACCGCGCCTTACTCCATTCTGGGTCAACAAGGGTCACGCGCCATTCTGCGTCCCTGTTGCCTGAAACTGATGATAGAGAATGACGTAACTCCGGTGGCAACCATTTTCCTCCAGGTCGAACGAGGACAATATTACTTCGCTGGAGAAGGTATTCTCGATAACTTGTTGGATACTCCCAATCTGATTACAGCCGATCTGAGGACAGCAAGATAGCATAATGACTTGCCCAATCTAGACTTGTCGGCGCCACTTGATTGACGGGCGCGTTGTTTGGGATTACTATTTTATAGGGTTTGTCGGCATGGTGAATTGTGTTATCTAAGTATTATCTAGCGTGCGCATGCAGCAACCATTCCTTATTGTTTATATTTATATTGTAATTATTTTCAGTAATTTTAAAAATCACAAGTTAGGTGTTAATTAAATTTGTCGAAAAATTGCCAACCCCTCCCCCACCTCGGTATAAAATCTTAATTTGATACACAAAGCACCAGTAATGTAAAAAAAAAAAAAAAACTTTTAGCGTGGCTCAAAACTTGCGAAACTGCAGCGCGTCCAATGCTACGTAACTGTACTTTGAGCCTTCCCGCCAACGACAAGTTCATTACTGTAATACCTGGAGTAACTCAACACTCGGGAGTTGTTTTGTAAATTGCGCTATGTCAGGTGGACTCAGATGGTTATACAAATTTAAAATAACACTTTGAATGCATATACAACATATAATCTGTTATTGTATTGTAACCAAAGCGTGTCTTTTTGAAAACAGCGTTTTACCCTCATCTAGCAAGATAATGGAATGATCCCAATTGTGGGCATACCAATATAACGGCGCCATCAAGTCAAGATTGAAAAAGACCAAAGTGTTTTGCAAAGTTCCAAGTTAAATTGCTAACTAAATGTCCGAATAATTCTCAGAACGGCTGCAAAATTAGATCCTAGTTGGCTTAATTTTTTTTTATATAATTACTCTAATTATTATTTATTTTTTTATTTTTTGACGTTACAATTATTTTGCTGGTTTTGTTCATGGCTTTCATGCGTTCATAAAAAGGCCCAATTAGATCTAATTTTAATCACATTGCGCCCAAATTATACCTCGATCTGCGACTGAACCAGATACAACGAGTTAAATGCGGGCGCCCTCTCCGGCGTCTTTCCATAACCAAGTTACGACAGCGACGCGCCAGATTGGAACGGATGGAACGCGTCTAATGTTGACGACAATGCAGATATTCGATCACTGTCATTCCACGCTGACACACCACACAGCAAGCATACACGTTTCAGTGTTATAGTAAATATTCATTATATTATTCGGTAAAGTCAAGGAATAGATTGGAAAATGGCAGGTAAGTCATGTACATGTCACCTGTTGTCTTGACTTTGAATAGCACGTGCTGCGATATAAGTTGACATAGAATAAGATGATGGGAAAACAACGAGATGCGAAGATGTCTTCGTCGTTTCATGTCTGCTATTTAAACTGTGCTGTGTTATCATGGATAACTATGTTGGGGGGGGGTAGTAAAAATGATACTTTGTCAAGTATGATTCATTGTTTTCTGTGATTGAATTGTTGTTTTTGTTCATTTCAGATAACTTCATCACACCTCGTGGTATCCCTTCTACTGAGACATCAGTAACTATGGTGACCCTGTGAGTAAATTTGTCATTTATTTGCGTTATGGTATTTCCAAGCCACTGCGTCTATTGATGATGTTACACTCGAAACGTAATAGGTCAATTAATTTACTGCATTAGTGATTATTGTGGATTTTATGCATACATCATCCAACAAACGCTCTTTGTATCGATTTCAGGATGACCAGTTACACCCGTCTTGTATTTACCGATGAGTTGTGTTACGGATCGTACTACGATTACACTTTGTCACTGTTTCTGTGTGTTGACGAATTTTACGGTTCCTGTTTGTCATTCTGATTGTATTTTAATTGGTTCTTCATTCTCGTCTTCTTTTAGTGATGAAGCAACGGAAAATGAGTTGTTTTGGAGCGGTGTTATCGTGCAAAAAGTCACGAGTGACGCGCAACTGAAATTTCTAGAAGAAGTCAAGAAAGCCACGCAGAGAGCAAGCAACGATGTCGGCGTAGTCAGTAGTCCGGTCAGTGAATCTGAGAGTGGCTTGTCCCAGAATGATGTATTCGTAAGTTGTTGTTGTTCATTGGAAACTGACAAACTTTTGACTTCATCTGTGAGATTAGGGAGTCTAAATAATCAGAAAATAGAGATGACCGAAGACGAGGCGATAGTCAGTCTTGCTGTTGTCAATATGTCCGTATCACGTGCAAAACAACAATTCGCCAGAGAAGAACTCGTGACGAATCTCACAAAGAATGACAAAAACAACCTAAATACTGACCTGCTTGTTAAAGACTATGTTCAGGAAATAATTGCAGGGGCTACATTGGCTTATTTTAGAGTAGACTGTGTTAATAAGAGTGTTGAAAAAGAAGACAGGTATGAAATAAACAATAGTCCACTTCACATGTCGACTTTGCCTCGAAGTATACCGCTCTCTGAGTCAGTTGATGTAACAAGACACACTGTGAGTGACGCTCAATGTCAGGTGCGGTCAACAATCTCGTCAAATGTGGATAATATGGCAGATCATGGTAATAATGAAGAGTCTCTGGAATATTGTGAGGCCACATCTATTGTCAACATTATCCGGGAAATTGACGAAAAGGATAGTCGTCTGAAAAACGTAACACTTTCTACTCAGCAAATACGTGGCGGTAACGATATGGAGTACATCGAGGTGTTGCACTCCGATATCGAACAGAGAAGGAATAAGAAGGTTTCTAAGTCTAGGGTCAGGTCATTCTTGAAATTATTCAGAAGAAAATCTAAGAAGCAAAGTGCTGGGGATGGGAAACACATCGATACTTTGAAAAACGCCGCCACAGAGGGCGCATGTGAAGGATTAACCGTGGACAATGAGAAGATAAAAGTGACAGAGTTAGGGGATCAAGAACTGAGTGACGAAACACCCAACAAAAGTGACAGTTGGTTCAAGAAAGTTAAAAGAAGGTTTTCTAAAACAAAGTCAACAACTCGCAAAGAGAAGAAAAGTCCTAAATCGGTCACTAACATGTAATAATATCGGAAAACATCGTGATCGTAATTCAAATACTCCGACAGAGTTCGTTGTACCATGTGTGTATTTTGTTGTCGTTTTCAATAATATATTAAATACAGTTCTCAATTTGTTAAAACTATATCGGCTCATTCAATTATATACACTACATGGCCGTTCACATTCACGTTCACACTCCCGTGGGCCACATTATAATCTCACAACCCCACTGTTCCAATTACTGTCACTGTTACGTAGAGACACAAACATATAAAAAATAAATTATTGTTAAGCGATTTCAATTAAAGTTAAACAAGCCTCCTCATATTCTTTGGTAAAGTTACTCACAAATCATGTGACAATGTGTATTGGTTTATTATGTACAATCATGAAGCTATAGATCCTTGACAACATGTAACAACATTGTTTTATGTGTTTGAGACAATTTTCTTATCATTTGTCCGTAAATCACAATGTTAAATAAAAAATGTCTCTTTTCGAAGTCTAGATTTGTGAAATAATACAATAATAATATAACAAACAATATCCTATTAGTCACGGTATATAATTGTTTCAACCCGTATCACGAGGCACCAATTTGAGATGTGCATAATTAATCGATCACACGAGTAGTTACAAGTAACAGTCTTATACATATGATCGGCATCAGTCATTCCAACCAAATCACTCATGGATGCACCAATACAAAGGTCATGGTTCGAATCCAGTTTGACCAACATTTTCAATTGGTGGGAAAGAGCTTACATTCATCTCCAAAATAAATGTCTTACACTAACAATACGCCTATTTCTTAGGGGAAAATATTACATACCGGGGAATAAAAAACGAATTCGTCACAGGTCATTGAAAATAATAGCACAAATTGAAGGAAAACATTTTTTCAGCCATCGCCCTCTAAGTTTCTAATGGTCCACCTCTTAGTGTTTTTTTATGTCGCAGTTAATTTTTACATTTTTACTCAATTTAAACTTTAAATAGAAATAAGTCGCCTAGACTTTGCCAGTATAATTTACCACGGACGACTGACTTCAAAAACGTGCCATCCAGATAGGACAGCGCCCTCTCGTGCCAATCCCCCGACCTTATTTGAGCGTGGCATATGGAAGCCAATCATATACGCCAAACACTCTGTCGTCATTGTGTCAACGCAACCAATCAGCTTATCGTACGTCATTTTTGAATAGGAAGTATCGCAGGAAGCTTGGATTCATTTGAAATTTCAGCGCTTTATTTTCAGTGTTTAATCCATGTATTGTTTTTGACTGGCTGCGATTCCGTACTATCCTGTACATTATTTTACTTGTAGGTGAGTAAGCTAGTTTGATATAGATAGCGATGTTAGATATTGCCGCGAGAATGATGTGAGGTGTGTATTCACTATTGTTTATCCGTTGATTCTTAGCCCATTATAGATCCAAGGTAATTTCCTTGGTACTTTGTACCTTAGCTGCAGTTCTGTAGCTCTTGGTTTCGTTGGTTGGTCGATGAGGTTATTTTCTCCATTGAATCGCGCTCGCTCGTTCTGTAGCTATGACTCGAACCTATATAGGTTCCCGGGAAAGCGTCCCCATCAAAATATAACTATGTACCATGCTGTCGAATCATGCAAAAAATCTAGATAAGTTTTGATCGCGTTGGAGAAGTTATGTCCGCCATATAGTTTCAATGCTTCAACTACAGTCCTTATTTTGATTTTTTTGAAGGTTAATTTGATTATTTATATTTAGCTAGTCGAGGGGCCCACTGTAATTTTTGCAGCAACTGCATTGTTTTGGTTGACCTCGAAGTCTTAGGTTTTTTCCTACACATACCGGGGGGGGGGGGTAATTTATTAAGCTGTAATTTTAGGGCACTACTAAACAATTCCCAGGACCCCTGGGCAGGTGCCCAGACGGCGCCGATAGGTACACATTTTGAAAATGAAAGAAAAATCCGCCTGAAAAACTGCAAAAATTACCTCAAGTGAAAAAAACATAGACATAATATTCTTAAAAATTATGGAAAATAGCATTGCTCTGTCTCTATATCTTAAAAATACCATATACAAAGCACTGCCTGTGTAAACCCCTGGGTAGGGAGAACCTTTACCTTCACTTTATTTACTGTATTTTTATTACTTTCTGATTTTTTGTAGTTATTAGAACTTTTAAATAATAAACTATAGATCGATATAAAATAATG